AATAATAAACATTTGATTAATATGCAGATTGCAGATGTAGTGGACTTGCCTGCCCTAGATTGCATGGTACCACAGTACCAAGAGATTTGTTGTGGTGTGTTTTTAAAAAGTAGTGCATGCACTAATTTTTGTGCGATCTAGTTCAAAAATCACACCACACTGAATCACACAGGAACACTAACCTCAGGTGTGAACTGGCTCTCATAGTAAATCAAAAGCAAAAACTTTATTGAGTTTTAAATTGAATAGGTAATAGTTAGAACTAGAGATGAGCGAAGTATTCAAAAATTCGATTCGGCTGATTCGGCGAATTCAAGGAATAAATTCGATTCGATGCGAATATATTCGCTGCGAATTTAACTTATAAAAAGGGTGTTTCTAGGCTTCAGAGAGCCTTTATATTAGTGCAGAACACTGTACCCTTAATTTAAATGCCCTTGGAGTCTGCTGGGGAAGAGATGGAGACAGCAGCAATAAGAGGCCGTACAGGGACCCATGAGAGACTCTGGACCTGGCAGCAGCATGAGGAGGCGGTACAGGGGCCCATGACAGATTACGGGCCTGGCAGCAGCATGAGGAGTCGGTACGGGGGCCCATGGCAGATTACGGGCCTGGCAGCAGCAATGGGAGGCCCGTAATCTGCCAGCACCCTATGACAAAATGGAACCCACCAGCAGTGTGAGGAGACTGAAAGTGGCACATGGCAGAGTGTGGCGATGGAGACAGCAGCAATGGGAGGCCGTACAGGGACCCATGAGAGACTCTGGACCTGGCAGCAGCATGAGGAGGCGGTACGGGGGCCCATGGCAGATTACGGGCCTGGCAGCAGCAATGGGAGGCCCGTAATCTGCCAGCACCCTATGACAAAATGGAACACACCAGCAGTGTGAGGAGACCTGAAAGTGGCACATGGCAGAGTGTGGCGATGGGAGACAGCAGCAATGGGAGGCCGTACAGGGACCCATGAGAGACTCTGGACCTGGCAGCAGCATGAGGAGGGGGTACGGGGGCCCATGGCAGATTACGGGCCTGGCAGCAGCAATGGGATGGGAGGCCCGTAATCTGCCAGCACCCTATGACAAAATGGAACCCACCAGCAGTGTGAGGAGACCTGAAAGTGGCACATGGCAGAGAGTGTGGCGATGGAGACAGCAGCAATGGGAGGCCGTACAGGGACCCATGAGAGACTCTGGACCTGGCAGCAGCATGAGGAGGAGGCGGTACAGGGGCCCATGGCAGATTACGGGCCTGGCAGCAGCAATGGGGGAGCCCGTAATCTGCCAGCACCCTATGACAAAATGGAACCCACCAGCAGTGTGAGGAGACCTGAAAGTGGCACATGGCAGAGTGTGGCGATGGAGACAGCAGCATGGGGGAGGCCGTACAGGGACCCATGACAGACTCTGGACCTGGCAGCAGCATGAGGGGCGGCGGTACAGGGGCCCATGGCAGATTACGGGCCTGGCAGCAGCAATGGGAGGCCCGTAATCTGCCAGCACCCTATGACAAAATGGAACCCACCAGCAGTGTGAGGAGACCTGAAAGTGGCACATGGCAGAGTGTGGCGATGGAGACAGCAGCAATGGGAGGCCGTACAGGGACCCATGAGAGACTCTGGGACCTGGCAGCAGCATGAGGAGGCGGTACGGGGCCCATGGCAGATTACGGGCCTGGCAGCAGCAATGGGAGGCCCGTAATCTGCCAGCACCCTATGATGAAAAATGGAACCCACCAGCAGTGTGAGGAGACCTGAAAGTGGCACATGGCAGAGTGTGGCGATGGAGACAGCAGCAATGGGAGGCCGTACAGGGACCCATGAGAGACTCTGGACCTGGCAGCAGCATGAGGAGGAGGGGGGTACAGGGGGCCCATGGCAGATTACGGGCCTGGCAGCAGCAATGGGAGGCCCGTAATCTGCCAGCACCCTATGACAAAATGGAACCCACCAGCAGTGTGAGGAGACCTGAAAGTGGCACATGGCAGAGTGTGGCGATGGAGACAGCAGCAATGGGAGGCCGTACAGGGACCCATGAGAGACTCTGGACCTGGCAGCAGCATGAGGAGGCGGGTACGGGGGCCCATGGCAGATTACGGGCCTGGCAGCAGCAATGGGAGGCCCGTAATCTGCCAGCACCCCTATGACAAAATGGAACACACCAGCAGTGTGAGGAGACCTGAAAAGTGGGCACATGGCAGAGTGTGGCGATGGAGACAGCAGCAATGGGAGGCCGTACAGGGACCCATGAGAGACTCTGGACCTGGCAGCAGCATGAGGAGGCGGTACAGGGGCCCATACGGGGGCCCATGGCATTACGATTACGGGGGCCCATGGCAGATTACGGGCCTGGCAGCAGCAATGGGAGGCCCGTAATCTGCCAGCACCCTATGACAAAAAATGGAACCCACCAGCAGTGTGAGGAGACCCTGAAAGTGGCACATGGCAGAGTGTGTGGCGATGGAGACAGCAGCAATGGGAGGCCCGTACAGGGACCCATGAGACACTCTGGACCTGGCAGCAGCATGAGGAGGGGAGGGGTACAGGGGCCCATGGCAGATTACGGGCCTGGCAGCAGCAATGGGAGGCCCGTAATCTGCCAGCACCCTATGACAAAATGGAAACACACCAGCAGTGTGAGGAGACCTGAAAGTGGCACATGGCAGAGTGTGGCGATGGAGACAGCAGCAATGGGAGGCCGTACAGGGACCCATGAGACACTCTGGACCTGGCAGCAGCAGCATGAGGAGGCGGTAGGGGGTACAGGGGCCCATGGCAGGATTTACGGGCCTGGCAGCAGCAATGGGAGGCCCGTAATCTGCCAGCACCCTATGACAAAATGGAAACCCACCAGCAGTGTGAGGAGACCTGAAAGTGGCACATGGGCAGAGTGTGGCGATGGAGACAGCAGCAATGGGAGGCCGTACAGGGACCCATGAGAGACTCTGGACCTGGCAGCAGCATGAGGAGGCGGTACGGGGGCCCATGGCAGATTACGGGCCTGGCAGCAGCAATGGGAGGCCCGTAATCTGCCAGCACCCTATGACAAAATGGAACCCACCAGCAGTGTGAGGAGACCTGAAAGTGGCACATGGCAGAGTGTGGCGATGGAGAGACGCAGCAATGGGAGGCCGTACAGGGACCCATGAGAGACTCTGGACCTGGCAGCAGCATGAGAGAGGGGCGGGTACAGGGGCCCATGGCAGATTATTACATGGGGCCTGGGCAGCAATGCAGCAATGGGAGGCCCGTAATCTGCCAGCACCCTATGACAAAAATGGAAACACACCAGCAGTGTGAGGAGACCTGAAAGTGGCACATGGCAGAGTGTGGCGATGGAGACAGCAGCAATGGGAGGCCGTACAGGGACCCATGAGACACTCTGGACCTGGCAGCAGCAGGCATGAGGAGGCGGGTACGGGGGGCCCATGGCAGATTACGGGCCTGGCAGCAGCAATGGGAGGCCCGTAATCTGCCAGCACCCTATGACAAAATGGAACACACCAGCAGTGTGAGGAGACCTGAAAGTGGCACATGGCAGAGTGTGTGGCGATGGAGACAGCAGCAATGGGAGGCCGTACAGGGGACCCATGAGAGACTCTGGACCTGGCAGCAGCATGAGGAGGCGGTAGGGGCCCATGGCAGATTACGGGCCTGGCAGCAGCAATGGGAGGCCCGTAATCTGCCAGCACCCTATGACAAAATGGAACCCACCAGCAGTGTGAGGAGACCTGAAAGTGGCACATGGCAGAGTGTGGCGATGGAGACAGCAGCAATGGGAGGCCGTACAGGGACCCATGAGAGACTCTGGACCTGGCAGCAGCATGAGGAGGCGGGTACGGGGGCCCATGGCAGATTACGGGCCTGGCAGCAGCAATGGGAGGCCCGTAATCTGCCAGCACCCTATGACAAAATGGAAACCCACCAGCAGTGTGAGGAGACCTGAAAGTGGCACATGGCAGAGTGTGGCGATGGAGACAGCAGCAATGGGAGGCCGTACAGGGACCCATGACAGAGACTCTGGACCTGGCAGCAGCATGAGGAGGCAGGGGGCAGGGGCTGGCATGATGAGGAGGCGGTACAGGGGCCCATGGCAGATTACGGGCCTGGCAGCAGCAGCAATGGGAGGCCCGTACTGCCAGCACCCTATGACAAAATGGAACCCACCAGCAGTGTGAGGAGACCTGAAAGTGGCACATGGCAGAGTGTGGCGATGGAGACAGCAGCAATGGGAGGCCGTACAGGGACCCATGAGAGACTCTGGACCTGGCAGCAGCATGAGGAGGCGGGTACGGGGGCCCATGGCAGATACGGGGCCTGGCAGCAGCAATGGGAGGCCCGTAATCTGCCAGCACCCTATGACAAAAAATGACAAAACACACCAGCAGTGTGAGGAGACCTGAAAGTGGCACATGGCAGAGTGTGGCGATGGAGACAGCAGCAGCAATGGGAGGCCGTACAGGGACCCATGAGAGACTCTGGACCTGGCAGCAGCAGGAGGAGGCGGTACGGGGGCCCATGGCAGATTACGGGCCGGGGCTGGCAGCAGCAATGGGAGGCCCGTAATCTGCCAGCACCCTATGACAAAATGGAACCACCAGCAGTGTGTGAGAGGAGACCTGAAAGTGGGCACATGGCAGAGTGTGGCGATGGAGACAGCAGCAATGGGAGGCCGTACAGGGACCCATGAGACAGATTGGGGCCTGGCAGCAGCATGAGGAGGCATGAGGGCGGTACGGGGGCCCATGGCAGATTACGGGCCTGGCAGCAGCAATGGGAGGCCCGTAATCTGCCAGCACCCTATGACAAAATGGAACACACCAGCAGTGTGAGGAGACCTGAAAGTGGCACATGGCAGAGTGTGGCGATGGAGACAGCAGCAATGGGAGGCCGTACAGGGACCCATGAGAGACTCTGGACCTGGCAGCAGCATGAGGAGGCGGCGGTACAGGGGCCCATGGCAGATTACGGGCCTGGCAGCAGCAATGGGAGGCCCGTAATCTGCCAGCACCCTATGACAAAATGGAACCCACCAGCAGTGTGAGGAGACCTGAAAGTGGCACATGGCAGAGTGTGGCGATGGAGACAGCAGCAATGGGAGAGGCCGTACAGGGACCCATGACAGACTCTGGACCTGGCAGCAGCATGAGGAGGCGGTACAGGGGCCCATGGCAGATTAGGGGCCTGGGCAGCAATGGGAGGCCCGTAATCTGCCAGCACCCTATGACAAAATGGAACCCACCAGCAGTGTGAGGAGACCTGAAAGTGGCACATGGCAGAGTGTGGCGATGGAGACAGCAGCAATGGGAGGCCGTACAGGGACCCATGAGAGACTCTGGACCTGGCAGCAGCATGAGGAGGCGGTACGTAGGGGCCCATGGCAGATTACGGGCCTGGCAGCAGCAATGGGAGGCCCGTAATCTGCCAGCACCCTATGACAAAAAATGGAACACACCAGCAGTGTGAGGAGACCTGAAAGTGGCACATGGCAGAGTGTGGCGATGGAGACAGCAGCAATGGGAGGCCGTACAGGGACCCATGAGAGACTCTGGACCTGGCAGCAGCATGAGGAGGCGGTACAGGGGCCCATGGCAGATTACGGGCCTGGCAGCAGCAGCAATGGGGGGCCCGTAATCTGCCAGCACCCTATGACAAAATGGAACCCACCAGCAGTGTGAGGAGACCTGAAAGTGGCACATGGCAGAGTGTGGCGATGGAGACAGCAGCAATGGGAGGCCGTACAGGGACCCATGAGAGACTCTGGACCTGGCAGCAGCATGAGGAGGCGGTACGGGGGCCCATGGCAGATTACGGGCCTGGGCAGCAGCAATGGGAGGCCCGTAATCTGCCAGCACCCTATGAAAAAATGGAAACCACACCAGCAGTGTGAGGAGACCTGAAAGTGGCACATGGCAGAGAGTGTGGCGATGGAGACAGCAGCAATGGGAGGCCGTACAGGGACCCATGAGAGACTCTGGACCTGGCAGCAGCATGAGGAGGCGGTACAGGGGCCCATGGCAGATTACGGGCCTGGCAGCAGCAATGGGAGGCCCGTAAATCTGCCAGCACCCTATGACAAAATGGAACACACCAGCAGTGTGAGGAGACCTGAAAGTGGCACATGGCAGAGAGTGTGGCGATGGAGACAGCAGCAATGGGAGGCCGTACAGGGACCCATGAGAGACTCTGGACCTGGCAGCAGCAGCATGAGGAGGCGGTACAGGGGCCCATGGCAGATTACGGGCCTGGCAGCAGCAATGGGAGGCCCGTAATCTGCCAGCACCCTATGACAAAATGGAACCCACCAGCAGTGTGAGGAGACCTGAAAGTGGCACATGGCAGAGTGTGGCGATGGAGACAGCAGCAATGGGAGGCCGTACAGGGACCCATGAGAGACTCTGGACCTGGCAGCAGCATGAGGAGGCGGTACGGGGGCCCATGGCAGATTACGGGCCTGGCAGCAGCAATGGGAGGCCCGTAATCTGCCAGCACCCTATGACAAAATGGAACCCACCAGCCAGCAGTGTGAGGAGACCTGAAAGTGGCACATGGCAGAGTGTGGCGATGGAGACAGCAGCAATGGGAGGCCGTTACAGGGACCCATGAGACACTCTGGACCTGGCAGCAGCATGAGGATGAGGCGGTACGGGGGCCCATGGCAGATTACGGGGCCTGGCAGCAGCAATGGGAGGCCCGTAATCTGCCAGCACCCTATGACAAAATGGAACCACCAGCAGTGTGAGGAGACCTGAAAGTGGCACATGGCAGAGTGTGGCGATGGAGACAGCAGCAATGGGGAGGCCGTACAGGGACCCATGAGAGACTCTGGACCTGGCAGCAGCATGAGGAGGGTACAGGGGGTACAGGGGCCCATGGCAGATTACGGGCCTGGCAGCAGCAATGGGAGGCCCGTAATCTGCCAGCACCCTATGACAAAAAATGGAAACCACCAGCAGTGTGAGGAGACCTGAAAGTGGCACATGGCAGAGTGTGGCGATGGAGACAGCAGCAATGGGAGGCCGTACAGGGACCCATGAGAGACTCTGGACCTGGCAGCAGCATGAGGAGGCGGTACAGGGGCCCATGGCAGATTACGGGCCTGGCAGCAGCAATGGGGAGGCCCGTAATCTGCCAGCACCCTATGACAAAATGGAACCCACCAGCAGTGTGAGGAGACCTGAAAGTGGCACATGGCAGAGTGTGGCGATGGAGAGACAGCAGCAATGGGAGGGCCGTACAGGGACCCATGAGAGACTCTGGACCTGGCAGCAGCATGATGAGGAGGAGGCGGTACAGGGGCCCATGGCAGATTACGGGCCTGGCAGCAGCAATGGGAGGCCCGTAATCTGCCAGCACCCTATGACAAAATGGAACCCACCAGCAGTGTGAGGAGACCTGAAAGTGGCACATGGCAGAGTGTGGCGATGGAGACAGCAGCAATGGGAGGCCGTACAGGGACCCATGAGAGACTCTGGACCTGGCAGCAGCATGAGGAGGCGGTACGGGGGCCCATGGCAGATTACGGGCCTGGCAGCAGCAATGGGAGGCCCGTAATCTGCCAGCACCCTATGACAAAAATGGAACCCACCAGCAGTGTGAGGAGACCTGAAAGTGGCACATGGCAGAGTGTGGCGATGGAGACAGCAGCAATGGGAGGCCGTACAGGGACCCATGAGAGAGACTCTGGAGCCTGGCAGCAGCAGGGGCCCATGAGGAGGCGGTACGGGGGCCCATGGCAGATTACGGGCCTGGCAGCAGCAATGGGAGGCCCGTAATCTGCCAGCACCCTATGACAAAATGGAAACCACCAGCAGTGTGAGGAGACCTGAAAGTGGCACATGGCAGAGTGTGGCGATGGAGACAGCAGCAATGGGAGGCCGTACAGGGGACCCATGAGAGACTCTGGACCTGGCAGCAGCATGAGCAGCATGAGGAGGCGGTACAGGGGGCCCATGGCAGATTACGGGGCCTGGCAGCAGCAATGGGAGGCCCGTAATCTGCCAGCACCCTATGACAAAATGGAACACACCAGCAGTGTGAGGAGACCTGAAAGTGGCACATGGCAGAGTGTGGCGATGGAGACAGCAGCAATGGGAGGCCGTACAGGGACCCATGACAGATTACTGGACCTGGGCAGCAGCATGAGGAGGCCCATGGATTTAGGGGGTACAGGGGGCCCATGGCAGATTACGGGCCTGGCAGCAGCAATGGGAGGCCCGTAATCTGCCAGCAGCACCCTATGACAAAAAATGGAACCACCAGCAGTGTGAGGAGACCTGAAAGTGGCACATGGCAGAGTGTGGCGATGGAGACAGCAGCAATGGGAGGCCGTACAGGGACCCATGAGAGATTCTGGACCTGGCAGCAGCATGAGGAGGCGGGTACGGGGGCCCATGGCAGATTACGGGCCTGGCAGCAGCAATGGGAGGCCCGTAATCTGCCAGCACCCTATGACAAAAAAATGGAACACACCAGCATGTGTGAGGAGACCTGAAAGTGGCACATGGCAGAGTGTGGCGATGGAGACAGCAGCAATGGGAGGCCGTACAGGGACCCATGAGAGACTCTGGACCTGGCAGCAGCATGAGGAGGGAGGCGGTACGGGGGCCCATGGCAGATTACGGGCCTGGCAGCAGCAGCAATGGGAGGGCCGTAATCTGCCAGCACCCTATGACTATGAAAATGGAACCCACCAGCAGTGTGAGGAGACCTGAAAGTGGCACATGGCACATGGCAGAGTGTGGCGATGGAGACAGCAGCAATGGGGAGGCCGTACAGGGACCCATGAGAGACTCTGGACCTGGCAGCAGCATGAGGAGGCAATGGGTACGGGGGGGCCCATGGCAGATTACGGGGCTGGCCATGGCAGCAGCAATGGGAGGCCCGTAATCTGCCAGCACCCTATGACAAAAAAAAATGGAACCACCAGCAGTGTGAGGAGACCTGAAAGTGGCACATGGCAGAGTTTGTGGCGATGGAGACAGCAGCAATGGGAGGCCGTACAGGGACCCATGAGAGACTCTGGACCTGGCAGCAGCATGAGGAGGCGGTACAGGGGGCCCATGGCAGATTACGGGCCTGGCAGCAGCAATGGGAGGCCCGTAATCTGCCAGCACCCTATGACAAAATGGAACCCACCAGCAGTGTGAGGAGACCTGAAAGTGGCACATGGCAGAGTGTGGCGATGGAGACAGCAGCAATGGGAGGCCGTACAGGGACCCATGACAGACTCTGGACCTGGGCAGCAGCATGAGGAGGCGGTACAGGGGCCCATGGCAGATTACGGGCCTGGCAGCAGCAATGGGAGGCCCGTAATCTGCCAGCACCCTATGACAAAATGGAACCACACCAGCAGTGTGAGGAGACCTGAAAGTGGCACATGGCAGAGTGTGGCGATGGAGACAGCAGCAATGGGAGGCCGTACAGGGACCCATGAGAGAGACTACTGGACCTGGCAGCAGCATGAGGAGGCGGTATACAGGGGCCCATGGCAGATTACGGGCCTGGCAGCAGCAATGGGAGGCCCGTAATCTGCCAGCACCCTATGACAAAATGGAACCACCAGCAGTGTGAGGAGACCTGAAAGTGGCACATGGCAGAGTGTGGCGATGGAGACACAGCAGCAATGGGAGGCCGTACAGGGACCCATGAGAGACTCTGGACCTGGCAGCAGCATGAGGAGGCGGTACGGGGGCCCATGGCAGATTACGGGCCTGGCAGCAGCAATGGGAGGCCCGTAATCTGCCAGCACCCTATGACAAAATGGAACCACACCAGCAGTGTGAGGAGACCTGAAAGTGGCACATGGCAGAGTGTGGCGATGGAGACAGCAGCAATGGGAGGCCGTACAGGGACCCATGAGACACTCTGGACCTGGCAGCAGCATGAGGAGGCGGAGGGTACAGGGGGCCCATGGCAGATTACGGGCCTGGGCAGCAGCAATGGGAGGCCCGTAATCTGCCAGCACCCTATGACAAAATGGAACCCACCAGCAGTGTGAGGAGACCTGAAAGTGGCACATGGCAGAGTGTGGCGATGGAGACAGCAGCAATGGGAGGCCGTACAGGGACCCATGAGAGACTCTGGACCTGGGGCAGCAGCATGAGGAGGCGGTACAGGGGCCCATGGCAGATTACGGGCCTGGCAGCAGCAATGGGAGGCCCGTAATCTGCCAGCACCCTATGACAAAAAAATGGAACACACCAGCAGTGTGTGAGGAGACCTGAAAGTGGCACATGGCAGAGTGTGGCGATGGAGACAGCAGCAATGGGAGGCCGTACAGGGACCCATGAGAGACTCTGGACCTGGCAGCAGCATGAGGAGGCGGGGGCGGTACAGGGGCCCATGGCAGATTACGGGCCTGGCAGCAGCAATGGGAGGCCCGTAATCTGCCAGCACCCTATGACAAAATGGAACCCACCAGCAGTGTGAGGAGACCTGAAAGTGGCACATGGCAGAGTGTGGCGATGGAGACAGCAGCAATGGGAGGCCGTACAGGGACCCATGACAGATTACTCTGGGACCTGGCAGCAGCATGAGGAGGCGGTACAGGGGCCCATGGCAGATTACGGGCCTGGCAGCAGCAATGGGAGGCCCGTAATCTGCCAGCACCCTATGACAAAATGGAACCCACCACCAGCAGTGTGAGGAGACCTGAAAGTGGCACATGGCAGAGTGTGGCGATGGAGACAGCAGCAATGGGAGGCCGTACAGGGACCCATGAGAGACTCTGGACCTGGCAGCAGCATGAGGAGGGCGGTACGGGGGCCCATGGCAGATTACGGGCCTGGGCAGCAGCAATGGGAGGCCCGTAATCTGCCAGCACCCTATGACAAAATGGAACCACCAGCAGTGTGAGGAGACCTGAAAGTGGCACATGGCAGAGTGTGGCGCGATGGAGACAGCAGCAATGGGAGGCCGTACAGGGACCCATGAGAGACTCTACGGGACCTGGCAGCAGCATGAGGAGGCGATAGGGGTACGGGGGCCCATGGCAGATTACGGGCCTGGCAGCAGCAATGGGAGGCCCGTAATCTGCCAGCACCCTATGACAAAAAATGGAACCCACCAGCAGTGTGAGGAGACCTGAAAGTGGCACATGGCAGAGTGTGGCGATGGAGACAGCAGCAATGGGAGGCCGTACAGGGACCCATGAGAGACTCTGGACCTGGCAGCAGCACGAGGAGGCGGTTTGGGAACCTTTTACGGGGGCCCCATGGCAGATTACGGGCCTGGCAGCAGCAATGGGAGGCCCGTAATCTGCCAGCACCCTATGACAAAATGGAACCCACCAGCAGTGTGAGGAGACTTGAAAGTGGCACATGTTTGGGGCATGATTCATGGCGGATTTAGTCAGTTGTGTCAGGAACTGGTGGTTTGAAATCCAGACTAATCCACGCCTGATTCATTTTCACAAACGTGAGTCTCTCCACACTTTGGGTGGACAGTCGTGTCCTCCGCGGAGTTACAATACCTCCTGCCGCACTAAAAACACGCGCTCCGATGCCACGCTACTGGCCGGGCATGACAGCCTTTCAAGGGCAAATTCAGCTAGTTGGGGCCAAAGGTCAAGTTTCGTTGCCCAGTAGTCAAGGGGATTGTCTACCTCGGTTGGCAGGGTGCTGTCCAAGTAGGCCCAAGCCTGTTGTTTGAGGTCCTGCTCCAGGTCCACCTGATGCTGCTGCTGCTGCTGCGGCTGGTTAGTAGTTTCCTCACTGCGCTGGTGAAGAAAGCTACTCATCATCGACTGCAGACTGAGGCAGCGCTGCTGGTGGAGCTGCCACTGCTCCTTACCACCCCACCCCTCCCCTGCTGCCATGGCAGCGGAACGCGAGCGCACAGGGCCCACAGTGTCTGAGGATGGAGTTGGCGCAGAAAGGCAGAGACCAACTGACTACATAGGTGGTTTTTATAGTACGTTATTTTGGCACTCCCTCTCAGCAGGTGTGAAAAAGGCCACCATTTTTGAACGGTAGCGAGGGTCCAACAAGGTGGACAGCCAAAAGTCATCCCTCTGTCTGATGGTTATTATTCGGCTGTCGCTACGCAAGCAACCGAGCATGCTATGGGCCATTTGTGCCAAGGAATGCGAGGGATCCCTGCCTCCATCTCCACAGCATACTGCCACGGTGCGTCTGGGTCCTCTGTCTCCTCCTCCTCCTCTACCAGATGCTCCTGCTCCTCCACTGGACGTGCAACAGAGGAATGACGTCGTTCATCCCATAGTCCTGCCGACTCACGAATAGCGTTGGCCTCCTCAAAGGGCTCTGAGCAAGCGGCAGGGTGTCACGCATGAGCTGCCAATGGCTGACATCGAAGTTACACAGGGGAGTACCTTTATCCCACCTTGTAACATCAGGAGAATCGGGTGATGGCCTTTCGCTGTTCGTAAAGGCGGTCTAACATGTGTAGGGTTTGAATTCCCCACTTGTATGGCAACGTCGCAAGATCAGGGCG